AGCTTTCTTAGACAACAACCTATGGGACATGAACCCGACGGGCCTGAACCCGTTCCCATCATTTTGCTATAGAACAACGCCTATCCCGTATTGACTAGCGTGAGTCGTCACAATGAAAGGAAGTGACGGATCAACGATCTTGAGGACCGGGTACTTGTTCAAACACTTCTTCATTATCTCAAACGCGGATGTACAGTCGTCGTCCCATTTCCAAAGAGTCTCCTTTTGTAACAGTTTGCACAATGGTGCAACTATCGAGGTAAAGTTATATACAAACTTCCTTCGGTAGTTGGCCAAACCAAGGAACGACCGCAATTCAGTCAAAGGTATGCGGGTCGGCAATCTCTAATTGCTGCAATCTTTGCATCCTCCGGTCTAACTCCTCTGTCAACCATATGGCCCAAGTATGGGACTTGGCGCTTGGCCCACTCACACTTTTTCGAGTTCAATATGAACTCACCTTCCCGAAGCTTGTTGAGAGTCATTCGGAGGTGCTCCCCAGTTATACTTCTTCTAGTTCAATATGAACTTAGCTTCCCGAAGCTTATTGAGAATCATTCGGAGGTGCTCTTGGTAGTCCTCTAAGGTCTTACTGAAAACCAGAATGTCGTTTAAGTACATGACTAGAAACTGCAATGCCTGCCTTACCGACGTGCCTAGCGAACGAGGGGGCACTCATGCAACATAAGGAAAGGGCGGATTGGACTCCAGACTCGTGGAACAGTCTTGTTTTCTTTTTCCCCACCTTCGGGACCGGCCAGCCATCACTCGTGCTCGCCATCTTCACATCGGCCCTTGCGACCTTTACTGTCCCTAGCAATAAGTCGAAAGGTAGGCTCTCCTCCATTGGAAGGGTCAGAGAACTCAACACTTTCTCATCGTATTGACCTTTACTACACATTTAATGCGCCAACTCTCATCGTATTGATCTTTACGTCTTCTAAAATTAACTGCCCTTTTGACTTCTTCATTTCGGCCTAGGCTTGGCGACAAGTGAGCAATTTGCCGCCAATGCCTGCGAGGGACCTACCTAGGGAGACCTTGACAGAAGCGGTCTTTGAAAGTCAACTAAGTGAGGCCACATCAGACTTCACTATTGGGGCCTTCGGACAGGACTCCTTCTCAGCGCGGTTGTACCTGTCTATCGCGGTCTGAGGCCCTAGTAGGAGTGTTACTCCTACTGGCCATTCCTTTTTAATGGCTTCCTAATCTCTTGGCAGAAGGGAATGACGTGGTTTGGATCGCCATATCTGAGACAGAGCCCCTCCTTCATCTCTGTTGCCAAAGGGACTCGGACATCTTTATGGCAACCCAGGGCGGAACTCGGGGATATCTACGGGGCCCGCTTGGAAGCCCCCTCAGCCTCGAAACCCTTGAATGGCCTGGCCTCAGCCTCTAACTCTTCCACCTCGCCCTCCTCTTCCTCGGCCTCCTCCTCAGCCTCCCCCACGGGCTATCACGATCACGTAGTCGCCACCTCCAACTACTTGACCTCCCTTAAATTGTTGCCTCCCTTAAATTGCGGCAAACTCAAGGTGCCCATAGTCTACTTGTTCAAGGGGTATCTCCTCTGCACCTCATCCCTCGAACGTCACCAAGAGTTTTATCCGCTTGGAAGCCCCCAGGCCTCTAAACCGCTGAGCGGCCTGCCCCTGGCCTCCACCTCTTCCACCTTGGCCTCCTCTTCCTCGTCCTCCTCCTCGCCCTCCCCCACGGGCTACGACGGTCGCATAGTCGCCTCCTCCAACTACTTGGCCTCCCTCAAATTGCTGCTCGAACTCAAGGTGCCCATAGTCTAGTTGTTCAAAGGGGATCTCCTCTGCACCTCGTTCCTCGAACATCACCAAGAGTTTGTCTCCGGCCTGCACATTGCCACAGATCGTCTTCACCTTCTACTTCTTGCCTCTCTCAATATCCCTGTAGTAGTGGAAACTAGCCTGCACCAGGAATCCCGCCTGTTCCAACGGATACTTGCTCGAGCGTTCACCCCTAGGCATAAGGCCCTACAGCAGGCGCGTGCCTGTCCTAAGTGAAGGTGGGCCCCTTGAATCTAAATGTGTCCTGAACTTGTCAATTTTTGCAAATCTTGGTGGGTGCCAGATAGTTGCCACACATCAGTTGGTTACATCGGCTTTGCCCATGAGAATCGAAAATATGCGAGAGCCTTCCATGCTCTTCCAGTAACGCGGTCGATACAGGGAGCACCACACATTTGTGCCAAGGTGGTTGGGCATGCCTAACCAATTCGGTCCAGGCCACTGTTTGAACGGGCCTGGGTGCAGATACTTCGGTCGATACTGAAGCTATTGGAAACTCAGCCTTGTGGGCCAAGCGGGTGGTGATTCGCACGCCACTTTCCATATAGGAAAGGGCCAGGCTCCGAGGTTGACATTTAGGCACGTGCAATTGCAGCTGGCAGCGTTGCTGGAGCGATCACTCGCGGGCTGCTTGCTGCGCTAACGCTGGTGATGCGTGCTTATGCGGACGTGCAGGGTGCAGCGGCATAGTCAGCCCCCATAGCCGGTCATGACTTGGATATAGCTAGTGGAGGTGTTGGTCTTCATGTTTGAGGGTGAAGACGTGGGTCAGAGAGAGAGAGAGAGAGAGAGAGAGAGAGAGAGAGAGAGAGAGAGAGAGAGAGAGAGAGAGAGAGAGAGAGAAATGAGGTTGATGATGTGAGGGCACGTACCTGGTCTCGGCGATTGTCTACAAGGGTCGACATCTTCATGTACTTCGGTCATGCTGCTGGAATCAATTGGATGATTGTCAATTCGTAGGCTGCTAGCAGGCTGTGTGATAGTAATCTGGGCGCTGAGCGCCAAGTTGGAGGAAGGACTCTGGATACATATGTTGGTGGTGGCCAGAGTATGCTCTCATTGACATTCGGATTCGGTGCTTTGGTTCTACGTCGGTGGAATATCAGTGCATTTCTGCTTTCTGGACAGCGTTGGACTTGTTGGCTTTCAATGTGATTTTGCATTCTGGATTTCTGTCATATCACTATCTCTCATTTTCCTTGCAGTTTGGTATCAGAGCTGGTTTGAGCCGCTCCGCTGGCTCCTTCGCAATAGCTGTTTGGTGCTTCGCTGGATATGGTGGGGCAGTGATAACGCTTGTACGTTGGCGATTGGCGGCACAGGGTCTTGTGGGCGCGCCACGAAGGCTATATGGTGACGTAAGGGGTGCACGCAAATGATGAGAACTTGCTGACGTGGCATTTAAGCCAAGGTGGAACTGCATTGTATTGTGGGTTGTGCCGAGGCATTGACCGGTCATCATAAATGCACGTCAGGTTACTGGTGAGAAATTTGTGGTTGGGGGCAACACTATGTGGTACGTTGCTCTCTACCTTATCTACCCTCTTTGTTGGTTCTTACCGTGAGGAAGTGAGTTATGTCTTGAGAGTCCTCTCATTGTGAGGTGTCGCAAGCGCTCATCCTTGAGAGTCGACATTCTTCTTGGGGAGCAAGCTGGTGGGAGATGGGGGTTGCCTCTGAAGGGCCTTGGACGAAGCACTCGGGTCATGGTCACCATGCCAACCCGCTGCGACTAGTACACGTATGCTTTGCCGCTTGTCTTTTGGTCTGCTTGTTGCGCTGTAGAGGTCATGTTGGGCAGGCCAGTCCTATGAGGGAGAGACGAGTACCTGACCATCTATAAAGAGACTCCGGCGGGGATACACGACTCATGCTGTACGCGAGTATAAAAATAGGACGGTTGCGGCTGGCCAGTCCTACATAGACTTGGGGCACAGGTGGGGGCCGATTGCACACCTTCAGACACACCGCTGAACCAGAGCTTCAGGATGTTGACACAAAGTGACTACTAAGGATAAAGGGGGAGGGAAGAATCCAGTACACCGTTCGAGTATTAATTATTGAAAAATTCAATTCTACATAAACACCATCAAACAATTTTATTGTTATTTTTTATTAGTTAGTTATTTCGGACTTTGCTAACAATTGACAAACAGCTGCAGATAGGTAGTAATCATTCCTTGCTTCGATGCAATTTGTTTCAGACTAGTCAAAAATAGGAATATAATTGTTTGTAGGAATCGAGATTATTTGCTGTTACCACTTGGCAACTTTCTGACAAAGCTAGACCGAATATTTTATTATATTTTATTTTAATCGGTTGGTTGCCATGCTGCGGTAGGTCCCAGCGAGGACACTAGTGCAGATCGCAGGCGACACATGGCTCATGAGTGGAGATGACAGTGAGGTCGAGGGACTATAGCGTGATGATAGGAGGCTTACCCGGAGACTTGCATGCAGTAGGCCGATCACTTTCATAGAGTTAGAACGAGGGGAGGAAAGGAGACTGCAGATAGAAGCCAGAGAGAGGGCGACATTGCAGAGGGCTAGGGAAACAGCAGCCAACGCCGAAAGGGCACTTGCAGACGCTAGAGCCAACGCCGACTCCGACGCCGACGCAGCCATGGTTACCGCCTCTACTATGTCACAGGCCTCATCTCAGACTTCTTCGTCAGGTGCTAGTCCGGGTATGTCCCAGCTTGCAGTTACTCAGTTTGCTGGCGTGCAGGTCAGCCAGCAACAACCCATGTCAGAAGAGGATTATGAGATCCAGCAACCGAATGGTCTCCACGAAGAGTTACAACGCCAGCTACGGGAAATAGAGGAGAGGAGAGAGAAAGCGAGAATTAGAAAAGCCACGCTAGAGGCAAGGTCTGAGGAGTTAGGCAAGTTAGAAGCTATAGATGAGTCGACTTTAGATCCTGTGGGTCTATCCCTTCGGAAAGCATAGCCGAAGTGCAGGCCGTGCAGAAGGAAATGTTGGCTGCACTGATAGCTGGTCAGAACCAGATTCTGGCCACATTGTGGGCGCCTCGATCTTCGGTGAGGTCACCCCAGATTGCTGTAGCTCCCCCTATGGTTGCAGGTCCAGTGTTGAGGCTGCCGCCGACAGGGCAGCCCTTTGCTCCTTTGTTTGGCATGCCCCCAATAGGCAGATTAGCAGCAGGTAGTAGTGGGCAGGTTCTTGTACAGCCTTCTTCATTTCCCCAATCAATGGCTGCAGCTACAGGGCAGCCGCAAGTGCAGCAGCCTTTGCAACAGGGTCCGCTGCAGCAGCAGGTACAGCAGCAGTAGCAAGTGTCGTTGCAGCAACAAATGCCGCCGCAGCCGTTTGTTCCATCGGTTTCTCAACCAATGCAGCAGGCACAGGGTCCTGTACAGTCCATGCAGTGGACACTCAAGATACCCTTGCTGAGTCCTAAACCTCTTTGGCGACAAGAAAAAAGAAAACGACCTTGATATCTGGGTGAGGATTGTGCCTACTTATGTAAAGCATAAGCTCACAAGGACCAAGGAGGAAGTTATCCTTGTTGCATCCTTTCTAGAAGGGTTTGCAGCCAAATGGTTGAACGAAGTACTACAACAACAGGGGTACAGTCAAAACTTCAATAGCTGGGCACAAACCCGTATATTGGAGGAGTTTGTACATATGGTCTACAACAGGTGGCATGACCCTCAAGGGGCTCAAAAGACCACCGACTCGCTAGCTACTTTTGGATCGAAGAGATAACGGACAGTTCGCGAGGTAACAGATGCCGTAGAGCGACTGATTGGTGTCCCTGGCGTGCGGTACAAACCACAGGTACTCCTCACAATTTATTTGCAACGTCTGCCTACAGATGTCAAGAATAAGTTGGTCGATGAGGCCTCCATAGACGGGCATACATTCGCCTCGTTCAACAAGAAAGGCCTAGACGTAGAGGCTAAGCTTGAGAATGCCCAGGAAGGACCGATTGATGGGAATCTAATGTTCGTTGACCACAATGATAAAGTGTTGCATACTGTAACTGTACAGACCAGAACAAGAACCGACCTCTCTCACAAAGTATAAGATAACGCAGCGGAAGGCTTAAATACCAATGATCCGAACAATCAATGTTGCTATGCAGATCAAACATACATCATCATCATTCCATGGTGTGAAGGGGCCTGACGCTCACACAGGAAGAATGCGCCAGTCCCCAACTATACGCAGACGAAGAAGAGGGGGTTAGATGAAGAAGAGGGGAAGATGGGAATGTCGTCAACACCAAGTCTTTGGTACAGTCCCAAACAATCCTTCGTCAAATGTCTGAATCCTAATGTCGAGTCTGGATCCAAATGTCGTCAAATCCCTAAGTCACCAATCTTTCTCTCTCTCGTAGTCTGCAGATATTGAGAAGTCAGGTAGCGAGAAGGTGAGGAAGAGATGGACTTTGAAGAGGAAGAAGAAGAACTCTCTCTCTCTCTCTCTCAGTCCGGTATTAACCTGTGAAGGTGGCGCCTTGTTGCAGGTACACCGAAGACGAAGCTGGAGCTATGGCGCCACAGGTACGTCTCCTTGGCCTCCGCCAGCCGTCGCTCTCTCTCTCTCTCCAATGCTACTCTGGCTCCTACTAGCGCCCAGCGCTGACTACTGCTAACACTACTACTCCTGCAGCGCTCCTCCAGAGTGCTGCTGCCGAATCCTGAAGACTATCTCTTGTGTGCTGCATGTGAAGTGCTTGGGAAGTTCCTACGAACTGCCTCGTCGCGCCTGCAGCCTTTAGGGCGGGCCAGTCTTATAAAGTGTTGGCTCGTCCAGGAGGCTGCTCTTGCCAATGCCAAAATGTCCCAGACCCTGGCGTTGAAGTTCAAACAAAGGTTGTCTTGAAAACAGGCCCAAAATGGCCTCTGCTAAAGCCCTGGTCTGGTGCCTAAATTTCAGGGCAGGTCGATCTTATGAGGGCCTGAAAATGGCCCTCCGTTTCAGGCTGAAAAGACTCAGGGCCTATAGGCCCTTGTTTTCAGGCTTTCCGGCTGAAATGGCACAGGGCCTATAGGCCCTCGTTTTCAGGCTTTTAGGCTGAAACGAAAATAGGCCCTACACGTACAGACCCTTAGTCTACCTGGTCGGGCCCTGCTCGGCCCGTGTGGTACTGAGTATGCCACACTCCCCCCTCCTTGAAAGACCGAGCTTACCTACGAGGGTGAAGCTGTCTGTTGGAGGGAGGGACTGAAGTCGGGGTGGGAGGCTGTGCAGCTTCCGTGGCTAGCCGTTTTTTCTCATAATCAGCATGGATCTCTGGTGCGGAGGCTTGCAAAGCTGCTCGGGAAATCCATCGCGTGTCGTCGCGGTCGCACCACTTGAATGTGACTTCGTACTGCATTGGCTTGTTGTCGTGCTTGCGATGCGTGATGACGCGGTCGACTTCCTGATGACCATCTATGGAAGGAGGGTTCTGCAATCGTCGGCCCGTGAAGTCGTCGCTCTTGGCTGGTGTATATGTGGCCAGCTTGGAGGCGTGGAAAACCAGGTGCACCGTGAGATGCGGCGGGATTTCGATCACAAAGGAGGGGCCATCGGGCTCATCGCCCGCAGCTGATGTGACGGGTCATGGTCCAAACCATTTTGGGAGTAGCTTGCGGGACACATCTTGTTCAAGCGCAAACTCCTCTGTGGAGACCCAAACAAGATCGCCGACGCGGATAGGGCATGGCACGCGACACCTGTTAGCTTGCTATTGCATGCGGACTTGACCCTTTTGCATGTTGGCACGGGCTTTAGCCAGCAAGTCCCTATACTTCTGAACGAAGGCGGGAGAACAAGCGGCTTCAATGTCGGCAGTCCTTGGAAATGGAAGATCAGCGAAGATACGGCCTTTCCTGCCACCGTGGTGCAACTCAAATGGAATCACGCCGATTGCCGGGTGCAACGAAGTGTTGTAGGCGAATTCGATGTCGAGGAGGCGGTCCACCCAATTCTTCTGATCCGTACGGATGAGTGTGTGAAGCATTACTTGAGCGGTTTGATGTGCCCGCTCCGTCGGCCCGTCCGTTTGCGGATGTCGAGCTGAACTTGGTTTCATCTCGGTGCCGGACTCTTTTATGAGGGAGGTCCAAAATGTTGACATTAAGCGAGTGTCGCAGTCGCTGACGATGTCTTTCGGAACGCCGTGGCCGCAAATCCAGCCGGTGTGTAAGAGGCGCGCAAGTTCAGAAGCAGTAGCGTAGTACTTGCAAGGAAGAAATTGTGCGTACTTGCTCAATCGGTCAACGACCGTGAGAATGCGATTGTGCCCGAAGCGGTCACGGGGGAACGCGTCAGTGACGTGCATAGCAATGGAGAGGCCGGGTTCCCGTGGAATAGGCAACGGGCGTAACTTGTCGTCGGGGTTGCGATTGCGGGGTTTGCTTCGTCGGCAAATTTCGCAAGAGTCGCAATACCGAGTGACATCGGTAATGAGGTCGGGCCACTGGAATCGGTTCCTCTTGTGATCGTACGGTTGACTCCAAAGTGGCCGGCGAGTCTCGAGTCATGGTACTCGCCGAGGAGGCGAGTCCGTAAGCGACGGTTGTGTGGGACGCATAGTAAGTCCTTGCCTCGTGAGTGAAGAAGCAAGTAGCCATCGACGACGCAATAGTGACTGGCCGGCGGGTGATCCGAGGATAGTTGCTCGTAGAGCGCGGCGTATTCCGGATCAGACTTGTATGCTCACACAAAATGCTGATAAAGGGCATCGTCGAAACTGAACGCGTGGTGTGTTAATGCACAAAGATCTGATCTTCGCGAGAGAGCATCCGCGGCTCGTTTGGAGAGGCCTGAAATGTGTTTCGGTGTGAAGTGGAACTGATCGATGAAGTACATGCATCGAGCAATCATGCTGCTCGCCGTGTCTTGCGTCTTGTAGTAGGTCAACGGGTTATTATCTGTTGCCCAAGTGAGCCTACGACGCCCGAGGAGGAAGTGTCGCCAACGCTAGAGTATTGTGACGAACGCAAGCAACTCCTCCTTCCGCGCATCATCAACCGAGTTGATGGGAGGTACCCGGATGCCAGTCTGATCCGTCGTGTTGTTCCAATATTGCACGCATGCCGCAGCCGGAAGCGTCCGTAGTCACTCTCGTAGGCAAGGTGGGATCGTCGATACTCAAGACGGGAGCGAGGTGCAATGCCTTCTTCAATTTGTGGAACGAACTGCGGACTTCGTCGGTGAACTGGAAGGGCACCTTTGGAGACTGCAATCTTGACAAGGGCGCGACGATCCGTGCGTATCCTCCGATGAAGCGTTGGTAGTACCCGGCCAATCCCATAAAAGATCGGATTTTCGTGGTGTTGGTTGGTTCCGGCCAATCTTGAATGGCCTTGATCTTGTTCGCGAGCGGATGGATGCCTTGCGGCATCACAAAATGGCCCAAGTACTCGAGCTCTTGCTGCGCGAATTCGCACTTGGCTCGGTTGGCCTTGTACTTGACCGTACGTAGCCTGTCCAAAACAGCGCGTAGATGCACGATGTGCTTGTCCAAATTCCGGCTATATACCAAGATGTCATCGAGGTAGATGAGCACGAACCGGTCCAGCATGTCGCGAAACCCCGTTGTCATTGTCGCTTGGAAGGTGGTCGGGGCATTCGTGAGGCCGAATGGCATTACGACCCACTCGAAGTGCCCGTACCATGTCTTGAACGTGGTTTTGTATCGATCTCTTGGATGGATCTCGAGCTGGTGGTAACCGGCCTTGAGGTCCAACTTGGAGAAATACTTGCCGCCGGCCAAGCGTTCGAGAAGATCGTCGGTGCGTGGGAGCGGGCCGGCATTCTTGATTGTTTGAGCATTAAGCTTACGATAGTCAATGCATAAGTGCAACTCCTTGTTCTTCTTCTGAACGAAGAGAACGGGTGCACCGTTGGGCGAGCAGCTAGGGCGAATCCAACCCTTGTCAGTGAGGTCATCGAGTTGCCTTCGAAGCACTTCGAGTTCCTCCTTGCTCATGCGGTAAATACATTTGCGCAGAGGTACGACCTCGTCTTCGAGGATGATCTCGTGATGAATTGGCCGATTCGATACAATTTCGGCGGGGGCTTCAAAGACATCGCTATAGGAGTCAAGAAGTTGTACAATGCGTGGATCCGGTGGCTGTTCCGCCGCTGGCTCGTCGGGAGGAGGGAGGGCGTGCAAGAAACTAATGCCCATTTCCTCCACGTCGTTCCGTGCGATGGAGTTGCGAATGCTTGCTGCGGAGACCATGTGACAACCAATCGAAGGGTGAGGTGGGGGTACCGTACATGGCACAAGTACCCCGTTTCGGTCACGAACGTGAACGGTGCGGCGGTAGAAGTTCACCGGGTGGTCCTCGCTGCGCAGCCACGACATGCCCAAAATCATGTCGAACTGTGTGTCCAATATGTCAAAGTACACGACCTCGCGTGCATGCAGGACGAAGTACACAGGGACGGAGTCAACGCACCGGTCAATGGACTTGTGCGTACGACTGTCCGCCAACGTGACTTGCGCGGGCTGCGATTTCCTTCGAATGCGCGGCCCAAGGCCGGCGCGCATCATGAAGTCTTGGCTGATGTAGTTGCGAGTAGCTCTACAATCAATCAAGCCGTTGCAGGTCGCCTTCCCGATCTGAATGCGGGCGTTGAGTAACGGTGCGTCAATGTTATCGTACTGTTGCGTGGCGTACTCGTGGTCAATCTTCGCAATGTACTCACGAAGGTCAACAACCGCTACTCCGTCTTCCATCAACGGAGCTGGTATTGCAGCGCGCAAGGAGTTGCATATTTCCGCCATTAGGGCGTTGCAATGCGGCTCCGGCAAGGAACCAGATGGGGGAAGAGGCATCCATTGGAAGTCCTCCGGTGTTAATGGGTCGAGGTCCTGAAGTCTAGACCACACTGACGAGTCCCTGAGTAATGTCGGCGAGGATTCTGGTTCACTTGGCGATGGTGCTGAAGTCGCACACGCATATGACTCTTGCACGTGGAGAGGTTGGTCCAACGGCGGGACCAGTTGGACAGCATAGTCTTCATAACCTTCGTGAAGACTGGCGACATACGCATGTTCCTCGGACGTGGAGGAGGTTGTTAGCAAGGCAACCGTGTCCGGCAGAGTAAGAAGTCGAGTCGCCTCACTTCCCGCGGAGCTCAGTTTCCCGAGCTTTGCCTTGGACGAACGTCTTCTTTGCCTTTGTCAGGGCATTGCGACGTCGTGTGCTTGGTGCTGTTGCACCAATAGCAACAGTTCCACCTGTGGCGGAGCTTGTATTGCTCCTCCGTGAGGCTGAACTTCTTCCATGGCTCGTTTGGCTGTCCGACTTCCGTTGCTGAGACATATTTTGCCTTTTTCTTCTTGTTGTTGCGTCGTGGCGGAAGGGCGTTGACTCCGTCTCCTTCACTAGACTCGTGAGTCAGCGCCTGGTCGTCCTCTTGTCCATTGCATTGGACAACAGCGACTTGCTGCGGCCGTAGGCCTTTGCCCTTTTCCACAAAATTTGGTTGGTTTTGCCGCTCGTTGGCGGCCCACCGATCTGTTTGGATGACTTTGTGCGCCTTATCCACAATCTGGCCAAGTCCGTGTACAGGCTGCGCTCCCCAAGGGCTGTGTTCAATGCGTCAACCGACCGTTGGAAGAATTCGCGACGAAGATGTGCGAACGGTATGTCCAGATTCGGAATCGTCACGAGTTTCTGCCATTTGGTTAGCCATTCAGGTGTTGGCTGGCTGCCTTGGTGCATGCTGAAGATCCGGTTCATGCCTTTGCCTTGAGCGTCGTCGACGATGAAGCGTTTCCGCCACTTCTCAGCCATGGCCTCCCAAGTGATCTTGGTGTAAAGCTTAGTGACATCGAGCCTTCGGTTTGAGCCAGGTGGTTGAGCCACACATGGCTGGTACCGGTGATGCAGAGGTAAAGCGCTGAGACCTTTGACTCTGGCGGGACCAAGTGGATGGAGAGCTCGTTGGTGAACCGTTGCCACCAACTTATGGGGTCCGCCTTGTGGTAGTCGTCAAATCTGTCGATGCTGAACTTCGGCATCTTGTATTGTTTAGACGTCAGGTTGTTGCAGGTCCCGGTTGGTTGCTGCTGCAGCTAATGCAGATCCGCTTGTAGGGCGGCTATTTGCTGTCTGATGGTTGCCGGTTGTCGGAAACTGTTCAATTTTTTGACGAGCGCTACTAGGTGATGCATTCGTTCTTCCAGCTCGCGGATCAGTGGATCAATGCTTGACGATGCCGTGTGCCTGTGCGGCACGTCATCCTTCTGCAACACGTCAAGGCGGGCATGGAGGCTCTTGAGAGTCTCCTCATACTCCAGCGCCACTTGTTGCCAATTACAAGTGACGATGACTTGGTGCATCATGTTGGCGAGGGCTGACTTGGTCTGCTCCTCCGCAGTTGGTTCCGTCGTCTCCGCCGGATCAACATTCCATGCTTGGAGTGCGGCGGTATGAGCGGCTTCCTGCTGCATGAGGACAGATGCGGCATCTTTTCGAGCTTTGTTATGGTTGGCAGCTGCTTCAGCGTGCTGCCGGCGCCGTTGCGCCGCGTCGCATGCAATGGCGTTGAGGCGTGCCATTTCGGCTGCCACCTCTCGTTGCTGTTCCTCTCGTATTTGTTGCATGTCGGTGCCCAGGCGGGCCAGGAAGGCCATCATGGTCTCTCCTTGCTGCCGGACTGGCGCCACATCGAGGGCTCCCGCAGGTGTCGCAGTGGAACCCACCTACTGGACCTGTGGGACCAGGGGGTTCGAGCTGCACGCCTCGCTTGGACTGCCGGATGTGGCATTGTCCACCGTGGGGTTGCCCTGGGCATCCATTGCAGAGGGGTGGGGCAGGGGTAGCTGCTGTTCCGCTGCGGCTGCCCGCCCTTCACGTGCTGCGATGCGTTTGCTGCGTCGGAGCAGAAGCTGCAGTTAGCTGTACGGTGTCGGCTGACGAGGTACTGCTGACGTGGCCCTGCTGCTGATGTGGCACTGCTGCCGTCGTGGTACTGCTGACGTGGCACTGCTGCTGTCATGGCACTGCTGATGTGGCACTGCTGCTGCCGTGGCACTGCTGACTTGGCACTGCTGGTGTGGCACTTACCAAAACGGAAATGCAGGCAAAAGGGTTGGGTGGGAGTGAAACGCAGGAAGGCAACCAACCAAACTGTACTTTCCCCCCGGTCCTAATCAGCAGAATAAAAATAAAAAAATAAAAGAAGAGGATCACCCGGATTCACCCCCCCCCCTTTTTTCTTTTTTTGTATATCTGCCTATCTGCTATCAGTGAGGCATTTTACGGAGGAGTGATAAGAGTAAGATCTAGGCAAGGCTTCACGAAATTTGGTCTTTCAAAAAAAAAAAAAATTGCAATTTTGAAAAAAAATTGCAATTTTGAAAAAAAATTGTGCGAACATAGGATAGAGATTCAATTTTCAGAAAGAATAAATCCGGTTTCTGGGAATATGACCACCTCCCTTGTTAACCTGTATGCCCAGAAAAACGAGATGCTGACATCAGAAATTTTCGGCTATAAAATTATAAATGCGAGGCCACTGCCTCTATGAGCCCCATTCGGCCCCTTTTTGGAGCAAGTCGGCCGCCCTAAGTGAAGGCAGGCTCGACGAGGCCCTCAGGGCCCTATTTTGACCACTGCGCAACTAAGGAAATTCAGGCAGTTGCGCAGTGCCAGTTGGTTGAGAGAACCCAGGCCCTGGGCCGCCTGTGTGAATGTATGGAAAGCAGGCCCTGGGCTGGATACGGGTACTGGGCCAAACACAGGCCAAAGGCAGTTGGATGCATGCAACCACCTCAGGCCCAAGGCCTGTTCTCTATCGTGCTGGGCCTCAGGCTACCGGGGCCTACTGGAAGCTTCTTGGACTGGACGCAGGCAGGCCACGGGGATATATGCAAGGGCCAGCCTCCTTATTGATCATTCGGGTGCTGGCTGCATGCTGCACAAGCGCTGCCGCGCTGTAGCTCGCTGGCACTCATGCGCTCACGGGCGAGCAGGAAGAAGCAGGTAGCCATAACCGAGCTGCGCTGCTGTAAGCTGGGTGTGGCGCAGAGTGGTCCTTGGGTGCAAGTGGCATCTGTGTGTTGAGGAACGAGGTTGTGAGTGAGGCGAGAGACATACCTGGTGCTGCAAGCGTGTGACATAGGTCGCTGTATGCTCGTACTTCGGGAAAGCTGTTGTCGTCATCATTCGGCATTGCAGTCTAGGCTAGATAGGATCTGCCATCTGTAGTCTGGGCGCCGAGCGCCAGATAGGATATCAACATTGGTTCTTCATTGATGATGATGATGATACTTTACCGGCATTGTCAATTATGAGTTCTTGGTGTCTTTGCAATTCTGCTGTTGGTTCGAGGTCACGACTATCCGGTCTTGTGTATATGATGCCGTTTGATTGCTGAAGTTCGCTATTTCTCATCTTCCTTGCAATTTGGTATCGGAGCTGTGGTCCGATTGTGCTCATCTGGCGCTTGTCTTCTGTCTAATGCGGTACAGACATGCGGTCTGCTTGGTGAGTTGGGCCGTAAGTGGTGTGTAGTGAGGAGGGCGGAGGCGAGTGAGTGGCGACCCAGGAGGTGAGGGGATCGCCAGGAAGGCTACATGGTGTAATGTGGGTCTGGACAGTGTGATGAGAACTATCTGATGTGCGATTGGTGCTGAGGTGGAACGGCGTGCAATGCTGGTTGTGCCGAAGCAATGACTGGTCATCACAATCGGCGTCAGGTCATCTGGTGAGATTATCTCTGTGGTTGGGGGCAGCTATTTGAGGTACGTTGCTCTCAACCTTATCTACCCTCTTCGACACTTCTTACGGTGAGGTTGTGTGTTCCTTCTTGAGAGTCCTCTCATTGTGAGGTGTCGAGTGCGCTCAACCTTGAGAGTCGGCAATGTTCACGTGGAGCATCTGGGAAAAGAGTGGCGGAGCTTTCTGAAGGGCCCTGGACGAAGCACTGGGTCACGGTCACCATGCCAACCCATAGGGAGTAGAGCACGCATGCTTTGCTGCTTGTCCTTTGTTCGGCTTGCTGCGTTGTTAGATGGGTACTGAAGGGCAGGCCAGCCCTAAGTGGGAGACGAGACCGGGCGTCTTTAAATAAGCACCAAAAGGGGAAATCATTGGCTGTGATTGTCGTCCTGCTGCGACGTAAAATAATTCCTGATGACACTTGGGGGCGATCGTTAAATTGCCTCTGGATCAGCCAATGATTGTAAGGCTCGCTGCACACGAGGATAATCCAGTGCAGGGCTGGCCAGCTCAGCAGATACTCGGGGCACAGGGGTGGGCCGAACACCTTTTAAACACGCAACGCTCTCCGGATTGCTCAGGGACGCTGACATCAAGTGACATTCAGGGGAACTAAGGGAGGGGTAGATTTCAGGTGATAAGTTTGACAAAAAATCCATACTGTCCTATCCACACAAATGACTCTAATTTTTATGTTTTGATTAGTTAGGTGTACAACCATTTGACATCTGACAGACAACATAGTAGGACGGTATTCTGTTCATTGTGCATTCTGTTTGCGGACTAATCAGACTAAAAATAGTATCGTTTGTAGGAATCTGACTTACCTGTTGGGCCCGAATGTATAGTCTCTGACACAGCCACCAATTAATTTAATTAGTTATTTATTTTAAATTGGTCTGTGCATTGCCCTGCGGTAGGCATCTAGAGTGCACTAGTGCAGATTGTGTACAGTGCTGTAGCTTATGAGCGACGGGGAGGACACTAGAGAGGATGACCGGATATTGCGATCTGCAAGGCTCCCAATTGCCCATTTGGCATTAGGTCCAGAGGGTGACAAATATTTGTTCCGCCAGCGTAGGGAGAGACAACAACAGCAGAGGAGAGCCTGGGCCGAAGAGGCAGGCAAGGCATTCGTAAGTGAAGCCGCAGCTTCAACAGCCATGGCCACTTCTGCGCAGCAGAGTTCCCAGGCTAGTAGTTCCGGATCTGTAGGGTCAACGGTCGCGCAGACCCTGAGTCAGTCCACTGGCGTAATGGCAAGCCAACCAATAGTGTTGACTTCCGATAAGATCGCCATACAACAAGCAGCATTGCAGGAGGCACAACTACAAAAGGCTTTAGGAGAGATAAAAGCGGAGAAGGAAAGGATGATTAGAAGAAAAGTCAGGATGCAACGGAGACAAGCGGATGTTAGTGAGTTAGAGGAGATGGACCTGACACACATGAGTGATGATGTGAGGACCATACGGTCTGTCCTGCTAAATGTAGTTGAAATGCAGGATCACCAGACGACTCTCCTTCAGGATATTCAGCAGAGTATGGCCTTACTGGTTGGACACGCGCAGGCAACACCATTGATATCTGGGCCTGGTGCCTGGCCCGTTGTACAACCTCCTCCTTTTGTCCCACGGGTGACTGGGGTATCCCCATACACAACTCCAGCATCGTCCAGACCGTTTCCCTGGGTATGCCGCTTTCAGGAGGGCTCTCAGCAGGTCCTAGTTTGCAGGTTCCTATACAGACAGTGTTTACCCAATCTCCGTTGCAGATTGCGGTTACCGCGCAACCTGTTGTCTCGCAGCCTGTACAGCCGGAGGGTACACAACCCCAGCAGCTAGCACAGCAGCCTGTGTCATAGAGTCCACAACCCGGAGTGATGCAGGGGACCGGGACAAACTCAGTGGGTACCAAAGACGGCCATCGCCGCTGCTAAAGCCTTCACAGGAGATAAGAGAGGCGAAGACCTCGACACATGGTTGAGGGCAGTGTCGGTCTATGTCAAGTGTAAACTTACCTTGCCGCATGAGGAAGTGCTTGTGGCTGCATCCTACTTAGAGGGTAGTGCAACCCGATGGTTGAGCGGTTTAGTGCAACTGCAGGGATACGGTCATGACTTCCGCGCTTGGGCAGCCCACCAAAAACTGGAGGACTTCCTTAAGATGGTGGAGGAAGAGGTGGCATGATCCTTAGGAGGCTCAAAAAGCCACTGATGCGATCCTGACACTGCACACGAGGCAGTTTAAGTCAGTTAGGGAGGCCATTGACGTTGTAGAGCGTCTGATCTGTGTCCCCGGGGTGCGCTATGACCCCCAGGTTCTACTCACCTCCTACCTGAAATGCTTTCCTATGCCTCTCAGGAATCAGTTGGCAGGTGAGGCCA